TCCTTGTCAGTAAAATAAAACGGTAAAAATGCGAGCGAAGATGAGGGATGGTTCATGGCATGAGATGAGATGTATATATGGATATCGTGAACAGGGTATCGCTTTTAAATACGTCTGCGTGTGTGCCATGGCGAGAAGCATTACTGTACTTGCTCTCCCTTCCAGACCATACTTCGCTTACTGCATCACTATCCATTTGTTCAAATTTTACTGACAAACTTACAGCATTACAGCGACGCAAGGAAGACTACTTGGCTTCCGAAGAAGACTTGTATTGTGCGTGACATGATAATTGAAACGCACTGTTCATTGATGGCGTCTGTTCGAGGGAGGAATGCACGCCATGTGCTGTATCCATGCACGCGATCACGACTCGAGTCTTTTGCGCGAGCCTAAAGGGAGGAGCAATTAGTGACTTTGCGAAAGGTGACAGCCAAATGTTCAAGACCAACTTTCTGTCAGTGTGGCTTCGCCCATCTGTGTGTCTGAAATAAACGCTAGATAAACTGTACACGTCGTACTACGTGCGATCAAGCATGTGTCCCAAAAGCACGAACGTAATCGTTTTAAAATCGATCAAGGTAAACAGTATCAGCTAAGCGGAAGCAAATGCTGGACGATTCGGATCAAACGCCAATCTCGTTGCCCGAGTGTACTGTGCTGGGCTATAAGGACAACAGCAGCATCATGCACGCTCTCCATTTGCTGCCGTTGTTTAGTGTCTTACATTTCAATATAGTTAGCTCTCCAAACTGGATAAACAGCTTTGCGCTTTTTCATGCAGCGCCCTAGACTTATTCGCGATAGAACGAGTCGGGTGTCGACAGGTGTTGCTAGGTGTTTTGCGTGTGTGTGTTACATGTGACGCGGTTTTCATTTAATAATCTACCTCAAACATGTATCAACGTGCTTGTAGTACAAGAAATAACGTTCCGACGAAACCCCTGTACCTATCGTAGCTCCTGCCGACCTCGCTAATCAATCCATCACCAAGTCGCACAGTGCTTTGGAGCCACATGTCGTTTTCAATCTCTCCAGGCAGACCAGTCTATCATGAATAAACGTGAGCTTCTCGCCCCCAGATGTATTCCGTTGATCGATGAGAGCATAGGGATTACTTCCCGTTAAGCGCGAGCCCCAGAGCTCGCTGCATCATCTTAGTACGGTGTCTCTTCATCATAATACCCCGGCAGCTATTGTTTGTATACAGAGCACTCTTCAAGCAACACGTGTAGGTGAGATCTCTGTGCCTTTAGGATAGAAATCAACAGCAGCAACTGAATCAGCGTCCAGCAGAAAGTGAGGTGGAAAGTATGAATGAGCAGTAATACCTCCTTCTTCGCCGTTTTGCGCGCGTCTGTCGAAGACTGATGGTCACGGGTTGTGGCTGTTGGGATGAATTTTATGTTCGCGACGCCTCTCATCGCTTAGCAGCTTGATCTTCACGTATCAAGTCCGGATAGTGGCCATCAGCCACAACCGAGTCCTATAAAACAGCTCTCAGCGATCGTGACCAATAATTCAATCACGTCAACTCCGTTGCAGATCAAGTCGGTGCTGTGGTTTTTACGCAAGCTGATATTATGCTTGACTCGAAGGTAAAAGTGGTCATTCACTGTTCGATCGCGAACACAGCAATCGAGTCGCAGGATGTGCAAATTTAGACATCGTCCAGTAACGTTTTGTCCATTTGCCGCTATCGTAGTAAGCGTCTCCTTGCTGAACCGAAACTAACAACCAGCTCTTCCATCAAAATAATGTATCGACCAATTCGCGTCGCCTTCAGCTATAGGAGGCGGGCGACCTTTGCTTCGTACTCCATGTAAGTTACTGTCGGCTTTCGACGACCGTCTGGTTGTCGTTCATGCAATGTGTTTTTGTTACAAGTTTTTTGGATCCAGACTCGGCTGCCAGCTTGTAAGGTTGATCTAACTCTGCGGGTAGATGACGACGGTCGCAAATTAGATTGCACCTTGCTAACGCACCTCCCAATTTGCGCAAATACATTTGCACGGGGAAAAGGACGTTCCGCCGCCTCCACGCGGTTTACGTTATCGCCCCTTGGTCATTCAATCTCCCGCTGAGAGGACAAGGTAAAGACACGAGATAATGACGGTGTGAGTAGATCGACTAAATTCTCAGCGTAACGACAAGAAGATAGAGCGATAAAGAGATTGTACGTCGGTTGATACATGTCGACAGGCGCGCATTGGACGACAGAATATGCGGAATTACTGCTAATCGTACTTGCTGCCTCCCTTGCTGCTGAGTGCTCGTCCAGTTGGTGCTGCTATACTCTTCCGTGACTTTTGGTGTGGGCGCCCTACGCATTCAATTCTCCTTTGAAGAATATGCAAGGTAACGTGCTGCTTATTAAAGCGCCCGAAGAACAAGAGACGAATTGCAGGGCTTTATAGCATGCTATCGGGATCGAGCATGACCGAGCAAGAACGCTCTCCGTGAGAATTAAGTAGATCGGCCGACTACAGGAGTATGCTAAGACCGGAAGGGACCAGCCTGTAGCATGTTGGCTCCAACCTTCGTTCATTTACGGGATGCACATGATCATGGATGCGCATTATCACTGCGACCTAACCGGAGCTGAGTTACATCATCCATTGCCATCTATTTGGCTGTAGCAGAAAATTAACATCGCGAAAAGGGGGAGAAATGCAGAAAGACTGAACCAGGACTACCTTATTAAAGTTATGGAATTCCTTCGACTAGATGTACATCCGAGTGCAACAACGCCAAGACTTTATGAAGTCATCACCCTTTATAGCGCTGCAATGTTGCTCAGGTAGTCTTTTTCGTGTCAAAATAGTGCGAGACCGGGTCTAACAATCAAAGAAGATTCGAAGAGTTAACAGGCTGCTCAACTTTATATGCATATCCACACAGTCCTAAAGCTATGTGGAGGTATGCTACACACTAGTACGCGCCACAGCTATATTAGGCAGCAACGCCGTTGTCCTTCCGTATGTGTAGTCTCTTATTTGTAAGTCTGGTACTGTTACCGCTGACGCGGCACAGGAAAACCAAAGAACGAACACACTCCTTACAGTCAAAGGCGACAGTGCATTTAGCTTCTCGTAGGGCGAATCAACAGGGACAGAGCGTGTATGATCAACTGTGGTAAGACTTTCGATTCTGTACAAAATACTGATGTTGCCGTAGAGATGAGAGTGTTGCTCTATAAACATCAGTGTAAGATCGTTCGATCTGTGGGTCACGAGGTTACTGCAGCACAGTTAAAGTCGTAAATGACGCTAAAGTCAAGACAGCCTTGACCGAACATAAGCTTGTGAACTCGATAAGAATCGAAGTCACTTCGCAAATCAGAGGCGGGCGAAGACGTATTGGTCCATGCCACGACTCGAATCGAGTGCGGTCGCAGAACGTGGCGATGTAGCCGGCTGACCAAGAGCAAAAATACTTTGGACGACCGTTTAGTAGCACATACCCGTGGTATGGGAATAAAGCTGGAGAGCAAATGGGATGTTGCTGGCATCGGCCTATGCTTGCAATGCTGACGCAAATTACGTGTGGGAATCAAACTGGTGAAGTAGACGTGCTCGGGGAGTCTTAAAATTGTAACGATATGGCTATGAAAGCGAACTTGCGGTTTGACAATGATAAAACTACGGTGATTGTTGTGTATCGATATACGGACAGCGTGCCATTTCTTGAATGAAACGTGGCATTTTGTATTCGATTGGGTGTTTAGTCTTGTCACTATCATCGCAACACAAGTTGCCCTTTTACCTGTAGCTGTAGGACCGGAAAACAGACCCAATCCAAAACCATTTATTTCGTTTTGTCATCCCTTCCAAGAAAGCGTTTCTAAAGTGATGTAGTCACAGATAGACGAGCTCCAGCAAAGTTTGACAAGGCATCCCGAATAATGTGCGCGTGTAATCACGAGGCTTACCCGCCGACATCCAAAGGCAAGGTCTCTATGACCGTTTCAGGCGCTTCATAGACAGCAGTTTGGGCCATCAATTGACACCTGTAGAGCTCCCAAATCCAAAATTGACGCTGGAATCGACAGCTGCGTCGATTAAAAGTGTGGTGGCTTTGCGTAGTTAGTCTTTCGGCGCACGGATTCTGCAATACATAGTGATGTACTGACGAAAACTTATAACTGAACAGCGTGGCGATGAGTGATGTGAAAGGTGCAAGCGGCAAGATAATTGGCGAAAACGCAAGATGGTGAGAGTGTGACGAAGGTCGGCCGACCACTCTCGGCAGGCAGATGCAGCCACAATCGGTTAATAAAATGGTTGGATGGTAGAGAGCGTAAGAAACATTGTTTGTAGGATGTTAAAACAAATATCACTTCTACTTTCACAGCACCCTCATAAACCTATAAAGTCTAACAGGTTATGAGCCCAGATGGCGAAGAAGTTGCTGCGGCTATAGGTCGCCAGCAGCACAGGGCAGATGCCGGTCGCGAAAGGGCCGGCGCCCTGGAGGAGAACGAAGAGGTCAAGGAAGGACCAAGGGACACGCAGAGCAAGCTGCTGGACCTTCTCACGGCCCTCACGGAGCGCATGGAGCGCATGGAGCGCATGGAGGCGTCGCAAGGGCGACTGGAGGAGGAGGAGCATTGGAAGGGCCAAGAGGCCAGCATTTTTGGTTCGGTGTTGGGGCAAGGCAAAGCCGTGACCAGAGAGTCGGTGGATGTGTCGCCACCGAGGCGTGTGTCACCCGGCGTATCGCCATCAACGTACTTTGGTGCAAGACAGCCTGGATATGCTGGTGCAGCGGCCAATGTTGAGATGGCGCAGGCGCCGCAACCAGTACTGCCTCAGCATTACGTGCCACCACCCGTGTACCAGCCGGCGCCCCCACCACACATGGCACCAGGATTACAATACGACCGTGTGCCGGATACGCGACAGGGGAAGCTGGGCATCCGATCTTTTAATATTAAGGAATTGTATCAAGGTTTTGGAACTGGGTTTTTATAGTGGGGCAAGAGATTTGTAAGGCAGATCATGTTCGCGGAGCGAGCGAGTGGTTTCCAGTGGAGTGAAGACGTCAAAGTAGACGTGCTAGGGCACCACTTGACCGGTATGGCCGAGCGATATTACAACCAACAGGTCGAGGGGTGGTTTGAAGAACAGCCGACGCTAGAGCATGCGATGCAGCGTCTACTCCATACTTTTGCGACCAAGATAACTCCCGCACAAAGCATGAAGATTTTTACAGCTCCCACGAGCTCCAAGCGAATCTGGACGGAGCATTACCTGTATTTGGTGGCGGTGAGTGAAGCGTGTGGATGTGCCGACAACCTAGTTCAAGACAACATTGGGCATTACGCCGACCCCAGTATGAGGGTGTCGATGTTGGCGAGGCTAAACCTCACGCGCATAGACTATTTGCGGCAGGCGAAAGAGCTTGCGCACTTCGCGCAGTCGACCGAGATAGAACTGCGCGGTAAGAACATCGGAAAGGACGTGGTTAATACCGTCAAAAATGGACGCAGAGCGTATCCCAAACCCCGAACACACAATCGCTAGGAATGTCGAGATTTGCGCACGTGCGACAAATGTGGAAATCCAGGACACTTATGCCCCGAGGGCAGTGCTGAGACAAGAGCGACGGATGATGTTGACTTCGTTTTGGCCATAGGCGGATCAAGTTTCAAGGAAGATTACTGGATCCTCGATAGCGGATCGAGTCGACACCTAGTTAATGACGCTTCATTAATGGAAGACCCCGAGAAACACATTAGCGAGTGCGTTGCTGCGGATGGTGGACACCTGCGCATAACGATGCGTGGAATTGTGATTATTGCGACGACAGTACTGGATAAAAGAACCAAGGTGCGCTTGATGGATGTGTACTTCGCAGAAAACCTCGAGAGAAACATTATTTTGTATGGACTATTGGAGAGTAAAGGGTGTGGAATATCATACCGGGGCGAGTACCGTGTGGTAGCCGCTTTGGACGAATGTCCAGCTGTTTTTGATGTGGGAATACAAAATAACGTGTTGGTCGTGCGTGCGCAAAAATGCGAACTAGATACGACGGGACGTGACGTGCTGATGTCAGCACTTGCACAACACGAGGAGGACTTCGGACAAGATGTGCAGAAAGGATCGCTAATGCACCTTCATAAACGGCTTGCGCATCTTAATTACGACACCATAATTAGGATCGCCAAGGATCCCGCATCAGGAATACAGCTAACGGATGAGCTGCGGGCAAACTGGTTGGCTTGCGCCCAAGGGAAACAGATTAAGAACCCGCAGTCTCGAAAGGACACTGGAAGAAACGCATCGATCGACGTGATTGAAGGCGTTATATGCTTCGACTTGAAGGGACCGATGACTCCACGGGACAGGTTGGGCAACCGCAACATGGTTAGTTTTATCGATCATCGGACAAACTACTGTCGCGTTTTCTCGGCAAAGTCCAAGGATGTCGCAGCTCAGAAGTTCAAGCACTTCATGGCTTTTTTTGAGCGACAATTCAATTGTCGCATTCACGTTTTAAGGACGGACGGTGGAGGAGAATACAAGACTTTGGAGCTATTCTGCAAGGACACTGGCATTGCGCGCCAGGTGAGCGAGCCACGTAATCAAGCAAGTAACGGAAAAGCGGAGCGAATGCACCGCACCCTTATGAACATGGTGCGGAGCATGCTATTTGCTTGTGGATTACCGTAAAGCTTCTGGGGAGACGCCGCGGAATATGCGGTCTATATTCTTAACAGGAGCCCGAGCAAAGCGAATATGGGAAGACAGTCACCATTGCAGATGCTTACGAAGAGCATCCCAGGCTTGAGCGACATTGTGGCTTTGGCTCGCCATGCACGGTCCATAGAGATGCGAGTAACAAGTCGCTGGGGGAGCGTGGAAAACAAGGCATCATCATCGGCAAGAGCGATGAAATGAAGAGCTACAGGGTTTATTTGCCAAGGGAGAAGACCTTCATCGTCACACAGCACGGTCGAAACGTGGAGATACTGACCAAGGAGCAGAATGCGCAGTTACGTCGTGTACATCTAACGGTGGAAGATGGAAAAAATGGCGAGCGTGGCGGTTATGCGTCGATGAATAACCCATTACCGGCTCCAAGAGAAAAAAGCAAGGGACGAGGACAAAGAAAACCCTGGACGCGCGATGTGCAAATGACCAGGACGGCGGCGCAAAAGGCACGCAGAAACGATGAAGAAAGTAACCGGCCTGGGGAAGAGATTAATAGCGTGCGGGAGGAGGACACGAAGAATTATGGGCAAGCCATGAAGAGTGGGCAGAAGGAAAAGTGGCTTACTGCCATGTCGGAAGAGCTGCAAGCGTTTGAAGACAACGGAGTTTGGTTGGTCGTAGTGCCACCATATAATAGTCACGTGCGGCACACAAAATGGGTCTATAAGACCAAAACGGATGCTGATGGAGCCATTGAGCGATTCAAGGCGAGATTGGTTGCCTGCGGAAATGAGCAGGTGTATGGCGTTGACTACGGTCTTATGTTTGCTGCTGTTATGGAGTTGAGCACGGTGAAGGTGATTCTTGTGCTTGCGTTGCGTTGGGGAGTACCGGCGAGACACGGGGATATTCCCAACGCGTACGTGAAGGCTGATAAAGAAGATCACTTGGATATCTACTTAGCGATTCCACAGGGGATGAAGATTCAAGATGGGACTCTACGACAATTTGGCGTACAAGACAAATCGCATTTAGCGCTAAAGCTGAAGAAGTCTCTCTATGAGCTCAAGCAGGCGGGCCGTCTGTGGAGCCAATTGCTACACACCAGACTGGAGGAGGCTGGATTAACGCAGTGTGAAACCAATACGTGCTTGTATTGTAAGCGCCAGGGAGACGATGTGACGATTGTCGGCGTTTCGTGGACGAATTACTAGTCACAGCGTCCAGTCCGAGGATGGTAGAGCTGATTTTCGAGGCGATGGAATGTTTATCGATCAAAGATTTGGTCGAGGTTCGAAAGTTTATCGGCATGCGAGTTAGTTTGGAGGACAGAAAGACGTGCACAGTGGATCAGCAAGCGATTATTGAAGAAATGCTTGAGATTCATGGTTTGAAGGAGGCGAACGGTGTTCGTGCGCCTATCAGTGAAGAAGCTAATGAAGTTGAACCCTGTGTTACTAACAACGGTACCGAGACAAAGAGGTGAACCAACGATTCGCGACTTTCAGTCGCTTGTGGGAAGCTTACTTTGGATTGCAAGATGTTCACGTCCGGATATCAGCTCTGCAGTTCACAGGGCCACGCGGCGCACTCACCAACCTACTATGAGTGACTGGAAGCTGACAAAGAGAGTCGCAAGATACTTAAAAGACACCAAGAACCTCAAGCTCAAGATGATTGTTTCACGAGATGAAGGAAACAAGATCAATTTGGCGAGTTGGAGCGACTCGGACTATGCGGCTGATAAGGTGGACCGTAAGTCTGTCACAGGCGGATTTTTTAACTATGGACGGTGCTATTGTGCAGTGGGTGTGCAAAGAGCAGACCGGGGTGTCGCTATCGACAATGGAGGCGGAGTTTGCGTCGGCCTCGCACGTTGGGCGAGAATTGCTAGGACTGAGGGAGTTAATGCGTGAGATTGGATTTCAAGTGGAGGCCCCAATGTCAATGCTCATGGACAACCAGGCTGCTATCAGACAGCTGGAGACTGAAGGAAGCATGTCGAGTGTCAAGCACGTTGATGTGCGCATGAAGTTTTTGCGATTATGCGAGGAAGGACATCGTAAAACCAATGTTTGTGGAATCGAGCATCATGAAGGCGGACTTACTGACGAAAGTATTGCCGGCGCCAAGGATTGCAGAACTACGAAAGCTGTTCAATTTGATGTAGACATCGAGTGTGGGCGAGTGTGCGACGACCGAGGAGGAGTATTGGCGAAAATGCAAGATGGTGAGAGTGTGACGAAGGTCGGACGACCACTCTCGGCAGGCAGATGCAGCCACAATCGGTTTATAAAATGGTTGGATGGTAGAGAGCGTAAGAAACATTGTTTGTAGGATGTTAAAACAAATATCACTTCTACTTTCACAGCACCCTCAATACCTGTAAAGTCTAACAAAGGTCTCATTTGTGATAAAAATCGAGCAAGAGTGAAGAAGCAAGCACTCGAGAAGATGATGGACGCTGGAAGGCAAGTAGGTGCCGATATTGAGATCTTTTAGAATGTCAATGTAGTGGAGCTTAAAGGCTGACAGCCTTATTTTAGGAAGAAGAGCGACCTAGTTTGAAGATTTGAACGAGGTGGAACACCAGGTGGTAGTCACTCGGGGGGGAGTGACTGCGGTGACTTACGTGGTGACGATGTTCATAGAGGAGACTGATGAATGAGGATGTTTTTTTTTCCGATTGGGAATTGTAAAGGACGATCGGAGAGACAGGATGACACTGAGGTGTTAAATGAAGTAATCTAAAGTAGACAAAGCGGCGTAATGACAAAGACGGAGCAGCAGCTGAAGATGCTAAGTAGTGAAAGAAAGATGTATGCACGTCGTAAGGAGACGTTGGATGCAAAGCAGAAGAAAAAGAAGGAAACGGTGGCGAAGCTCGCGATTCGTAGGGCTCTGGGTAAAATAAAAGGCCTTGCGTGATAATAACTACGAACAGGAGCTGCGAGGCTAAGAGGAAGGTTCTGGTGTGGCTTTGAACTGGATGGAAGTGAGCGACGACAAAGCAAGTGAACGGAAATCCAATTGTGGAAGACATGTTTTTCTTGAATTGTAAGGACGTCGGTGACTGCTGCCAGAGCAGTAGCGCACGCTGTATTTGAGTTACAATTGAATTGTTGGGAAAAGAATAACAAGCTGGATCGAATGCATTTGTGCTTTGGCGATGACTCGTGTTATTGTTTAGGATGCTCTTTCTGGAAGAATCCCTTACCGAGCATGTCGGCAACGGCGCGGAAGCTGACGACAAACTAGGGGCCGACGAGCAGATTACTGCTGTACTGTGGAACGTCCTGTAAGAAGGAATCAGTGAGGTGAATCTTGTCACGCAGGTGATATGCGTGATGACCATGAGGCTGTTTGGGAGAGATATCCAAACTAGTTTCGGATGTCAGTGTGTAACGTCGCGCGTACCCGAAAGGATCATTGTCCACCAAGACAAGTAGACCGGATGAAAAACTGAAGCGGTTTGACTTGTGCGAGCCTCATGCATGCTTTGAGCCGAGGTCCCAACAAGAATGCCGCATTGGACCTCAAGATGTGACAATGGTGCTAAAATGTCCAAAGGTTACTTCTTCCGACGCTGATCGCTTCTTCTCCACTGCCAATGTACTTAAAAATACGTTTTCATGCTTTTACCATAGACGACATCTTTTGTGATACAGAAGAGTTAGGGGCGAGCAGTGCATTTACGCGAAATTTGGAATCGTTACCTTTTAATCAGATCTTCCCCGTCTACTTTTTGACTAGGTACGCCGTATGTATGTATTTTATGGATGCATGTTTGTTGGATATTGGTAATCGGGTGCAACTCACTTTCGTGAAAACATAAGGTAAGCACACATGAGGTACAGCTGTCATCTGGTAAACTGATGACCAGAAGATTAACAGGCAGTGATAAGGACGTTGGGACGAGAATGTTTCTTGTACGATAAAAACACATCGTAGATGTAGGACTTAGATGTAACATGGTTAGTCTGGAAACTAAAGTCTTCAATCAATAAGTCACTTCTGTGTTGCCTTAACAGCCGCAACGCTCAACCTCGTTCGTCGCCAGCTCTGAAGACAAGTATGTCCGCAAAAAAATACGAAACTATCCTATGAAGTGACAATCACTTTCATTGAGAATTCGCCATGCGTATGACACTGGCGCGGAAGGGACTTCTGGCACATGTTCAATATGTGAAGGACCCGTCGGAGATAAATGAAGGATGGTTTCTCGACGATATTAAGACTTCAGGTCTGATTGCCCAAGGGATTGCAGGAGAGCACCACACTAAGATTCGTTTGGCGAACTCGGCTCTTCCTGCGTGTAACACGCTCAAGGACTTCTACAATCGGGCAACGCTACACAACCGTGTGTCGATGAATCGTCGTATCCATGAATTCGAGATGGAAGCCGGAATGACGATGTCCAAGCACCTCGACAGTTTTGATGAACTGGTTTGTGGAGCTGCAGGCACTGAACGAATATCTGGATGAAGGTCTGCAACTGGCAATTCTGCTGAGCAGTCTTCCGAAGGAGTATGAGCTGATCTCCTCCATCGTGAAAAATTTAAAGACACCACGCTTATCGAGGTCAAAGAAGCTGCTGAATGAATTTGGACGACTGGAGAATATTTAAAGTCGAGAGCGTGCACTGAAGGTGACCCATGGAAGAAAGTTCAGAAGCTCGAGGAACACAAAAGCTGCAAAGGGACTATGTCAAAGGGAGTACAGTTCAAGGATGAATGAAGGCTTTAAAGGCAAGTGCTTCATCTGCAACCAAGTCGGGCATTTCAAGCGTGTTTTCCCACCCGGAACGGCAATGATGATAGTGATACCGTATTTAACGTAGGTGGTCGATCAGCCGGTGAATTGATTTATAGTGGTGCGACGGCACACATGTCACCGTATCGCGAAGAATTCGTCGGGTACGAGGCATTTGCGAGCGAGATTGAAGATACCATCGCGAATGGTAGAGACATTCCCATTGCCGGAAAGGGTGAACTAATCATGAGGGACACCAAAGGCAAACGGATACGTGTATCGGAAGCTCTGCACATTCTAGTTTAGACCGACGGTTGCTGCCCGTCGGCTAAAAAAATATTGGCTAAGTGGGGCATGAGTGTTGAATTTCGTCAAGAATCATGGATCATTCGGAACAAGTCCAAGGTAGTGGTGTCTGGACAAAAAAAAGCAAGGCGAATGTGCTGGATTTCATCAAGATAAGGCACAGTGTATGGAGTAGGCTCAAGTTAAAGACGAGTGGGAGATATGGTATGCTCGAATGGGGCATCCGAGCGGAGAAGTGCAGTTGAAAACGCAACTAGCAGCATCGGGGATACCGATGATCAAGAAAAAGAACGACCAGCAGAGTACACCCAGGCAACACACCTTATGAAATGGTATTTAAGGTGTAGCCGTGCATGGAACACCTGCGTGTATTTGGGTCAATGGGTTATGCAAACGTGGACAAGACCAAGCGTACCAAGTTGGACCGAAAGGTTTTAAATTCCTCGGGTACGCGGAGGATACCAAAGGGTACAGAGCATACGAATTGGACGCACACAAGCTGCAAACTGTACGATCGGTAAAGCTTGACGAATTAGAAGTCAGCGGAATATATGACGCAACGATATTGAAAAACAAGACGATCATCCAGTTCATCGTAGATGAAGATGACACGATCTATTTCGATAACGGAGAGAGACCGGCTTAAGATGAGCCAATGGAGTGTCTGGACGATTTTGCTGAAAATAAAGCGTGATGCAAGAAATGGACGACCCAGAGCCGCCTAAATCAGAGCTGACAGAGCATCCAAGAATAAATAACGAAATGGTATTCCTACCCGAACCCGCTCAAACTCGTCGTAAATAAGAAATTGTGCTCATGATGAGAACGGATGCATCTGGATGATGATGGAAATGATGATGATTTTTATCCACCGCCTCCCAAGATTTTACGGTTTGACGATGATTGCCTGCTTGCTGAAGCAGTACAAGCGTATGACGCAAACTTTGAAGACACTGATGACACTATAAATACGTACCAAGAAGCCATTGAAAGTGATGATTCAATAAAGTGGATCAAGGTTATAGGAAAAGAACTGAAGGCACACAAGGTGCACGGGTTTTGGGTTTTTGTACGAAGAACCAAAAATGTACGACCAATCGGATGTAGATTGGTGTTCGCGAAAAAGGGGGAAAACATGGCACTGAGATCAAGTACAAGGCAAGACTTGTTGCAAAGGGGTTCAAGCTAATGTCGACGTTGCCCTTTTTGAAACGTACTCATCGGTGGCTAACTTACGATTTGTATAGGTGGTGATTGTGGCAAAGGGAATTTGTGTCCGAGCAAATAAATGTGGACACAGCTTTCCTGGACAGTAGCCCTTAGAAAAAAACTGTACATGGAAGTGCCGAAAGGGCTTTGAGCAACCAAAGGTATGGTGTGCAAGCTGCAGAAATCTATTTATGGAATCAAACAAGCAGCAAGTGCATGGCACAAAACCGTTTATGCACTTTCAATGGAGATCAAATTTCAGAGCTGCGGGGCCGACCGATGTGTTGACGTGCAACGCAATCACGGCAACGTAGTATACATTAGTCTGTTTGTCGATGACATGGTTATCGCGGCCAAGACCAATGACGACATCGCATCGGTCAAGAACGTGCTGAAAGGTTCGTTCAGAATGAAGGAACTTGGTACGACCAAATTCATTCTGGGTACGAAGGTTGAACATGACTCATATTATGGGATTCTGACAAAAAAAGCAGACCGGGTACATCGTCGATGGGGGTGCAAAGATTTAAGCAGCAAGATGAAAAGGCAATGGTGGTGTATTCAAATAAATAGGGTTAATGCTTACCAAGATGCAGTTACCGACCACAAGTGCTGAGCAGTCGGACATGGATACAAGACCATATCGGTCGCTCACCGGATGTCTGCTGTACATCATGACATGTACCCGCCCGGATGTGGCATACATCGTGACGCAGTTGTCAAGGTTCTAGGAAAAATGGACAACAGCATGGCAAGCAGCGATTCGAGTGCTGCCATATCTTAAAACGACGCGGGACATCGGGATTGTTAATGACCATAAAGATGGCAAGATAATGGTGAAGGCCTTCACAGAAGCTAACTGGGGTAGCGTCATCGATGATCGAAGATCTGTCCCAGTCAACATGGCCATGATTGGAGGTGCATTAGTCGTGTAAAAGTCAACATATCAACGAGCAGGGGCACTAAGTACTGCGAAAGCCGAATACATGGCACTAAGTTTTTGTACGCAGGAAGTTCTCTGGGTACAATTGATGCTAAAGAACCTGAGACACAAGCAATTAGTAGAAGCTGAAGTCAAAGAGGACAACCAAGGAGCGATGTATTGGCAAGCAACGTTGTATAAAACGCACGTACAAACCATATCGACATTCGCCGTCACTCCATCCGAGGAAATGTCCTGAATGATACACTATCAGTCAATGTGCCTCGTCGTACTGCTGGACGAGATCCCCAACGTCAATTATCAGCTAGGCGCGAGTCACCTAGCGGTCATGCGATGGCGTACAGCCGCGTCAGCAAACAAGACAACTCGTTTGCTGTTCCTTCACGTCACGGTGGTTCAAGATACGCTTCACTTGAACGCGTTGACAAACTTGCGAGCCCATCAAGGGCTGTAGTGGGGGCCGGCTAATTAACTCCAAGCTATTTGTTGAAGTTGCATAAGGAAGGTAGTCGTACCAGCAACGACTTTGCAATCTGTATGATCGCACCAAACAAGAGAGGCAGGAGTATCTATTTGTGGAGGCTTGTGTTCAACGCATCCGCCTTTATCGATCAGGCGATAAATTGCAATTCTCATTCTGCCGATTGAAGAATGAGCCTTTTACGACGAAGTGTATGACATTTTTCACCAGCATGCGGCACTTCAGAGCCTGATTAAACATCTGGCTCTGTACTGAAGAATCTCTTGGAGGTTCTCGAGCGTGGCGGGTGCATTCGCCCACGAAAGATACCTCGTACTGATAGTACAGGCAGAGACGACCAAGGTAAAAGTTAGGATGCGTGCGCATCTTTAGAGGAAATTTGATCATGTACGCACTTCTTTTGCGGTTTAGCACACGAAACGGTCCGATGTTCTTGAAAAGTGGTTAACTACTTACAAAAGTTTCTACGTGCTTAAGTACATTTATTGCAGGCAGTTGAACAACGTCTCAAACACTATATAAAAGGACTTTTGCTCTTCCATGTAAGAAACAGACCACTACTTCTCGAGTCAACAGAAATGTATTCGCTGACTCCCTTTGGTTTGTTTCTGTGCACTTGGTGCGCACTAACAATGCTTTTCGCTCTTCTTCAGCAGGGGTGTTGTCATTCTCGCTGGCATACTCAATAGCGATGCTTAATTTACCAGCATCTTCGTCCTCTTCTGGTTCAGCAGTGCTGTCGTCACTAGTGCTGATAAAATCTTCTTCGATGTCAATTTGATCGACATTGGCAACGTTCGCGTCGTTGAGTCCTTCGACACGTGATGAGCGAAAGAAAGAACAGTTTTTGCTCGAGCGAATTCCCGTCCCCCTCAAATCAGATTTACACTCTGAATGGGTGGGTAGGCCTGGATGGAGGAATCTATTCACAAAGAAAGGGTTATGCGCTGTTAAAGCATGCACGGAATTGAGATGGCAAAATTCACCATCGTCAAAAGGACGTTCTAATCTGTGAAAGGAAAGACGCATCCTCGAAGTATCTATTGAGGACGCAGAGGAATTGTTCTGTCTGACCATCAGCCTTGGAATGGTCACAAGTAGGCATATTCAGACTTGGATCAAGGGATCTGGACAAGGATTGCCAATCCACCGCCGTGTATCGAGGGTCTATATCATAAACTACTTCCCGAGTCAGACCGTGAAGTTGGTATACCGTGTCAATAAAGACACGGTACAGGCCTGTGCTGTGATTGACTATAGAACTGCAGCAAGATGTACCATCTTGCTGAAGGGATAAAAATACACAAGAATACCATAATTCTTGTGAGTGGCTTCGGGAAACCGAAGACGAAGTCCATTGAAACACATGCCAGCACTATTTCGAGATTGATAATGGATGTTTTGGCACATGGGATCAAGGGACGGGCTGTAGCCGTTCGCACACCTTGCAAGAACAAATGTACTTGCGCACAAAGTGTCACTAAATAGTTAAGTAGAAGTCGCGACTTACCGTGAGCTGAGTCTTTTCACGCCCACGATGCCCGCTGGATGGTGCATCATGACACTCGTACGAGATGCGCAGGCGCAGATTATTTTAAGTGGGGACAACAACACAAGGTGTGTCGCCGGCAAAGGCTGTATAGTACAGAAGCCGGTTGTGTGATGAGTACCAATCCGCAGAGGATCGATGTAAGGCCGGTAAGTTGTTGAAATATGTACGAGATGGAGTCACTATATGAACCTTTAGTCGAAGAAGAGCCTTATCTTCTGCGTAGGACTTTGTGCGGTCGTCAA